GGGTGCGCATCGGTCGGTTCGGTTCGGTTTTAGGTGTTATTGGTCGGTTTTCGGTTTGTAAATACGTCAAACCGATAACCAAACCAATAACATATTTCTTATCGGTTTATGGTACTTAACGGTTCGGTTTTCGGTTTAACCAATAAGAAAATACTCATATATATTATATACACGATAAGAAAAATTTTCAAATAAACCATATGATTTTTCCTAACATTCGGGTAAAACACTTTTTGATACAAATTTATTGTGAAACTGCTATTGAACTTTATTCTTGTCTCATAATTAAATTACATTTTTTTGTGTAAATACCAAATTGCACCAACAAATTAAAACGTAACCACAAATTTTGCAATAAATTAAAAGGAAGTCATCAATTTTTGTGATGAGGACAAACACAATTATGCATGCCTATGTCATTTGCAAGACAAGGTGGTTGAACCTTATTTCCATCTTGGTACCAAATCAACCTTTTCTTAGCAAATTCACTTACAAAATTGTCAAGCATTTGAGTAGTAACACCAGGCATAACAACCACATGTGTCATGTCTCTTTCACATGAAAGTTGCCATTTATGAATAAACTCTTGTTCCAATGGTCTCTCAAAAACAACCGTGATGCTATGTTCATTCAGCATCGCGCTTATTCCTGAATTTCGAAGGCTATCTTTTAAATAACGAGCATTTTGTATGCACCTTTTAGCATCGTCTTGAAGTGTAGTGTGACATTTTTTGCTCAAACTATACCATAAGAAAATTGGTGCATGACCACCTCGACTACCAGAAATTGTGGCATCTATTGAAGCAATATACTCAATATTTCTTGAGAGTATGTCAACGTGCTTTTTTCTTGCTATTTGTATGCCACAAGGCATTGGACATCCCAAAAATTTGTGGCCAGAGACACTTACACTTCCAATTGGCTTCTTGAAGGTAATTTTAGGTGCCTATATATAATCATCAACATTTTATTTTTAATATCTCTAAAAGCATATAATTAAAAATGTAAAAAAATTACACTATAATAAATAAAAGATTTTGTGCCAAATTATTTAATAATAGTACTATAAATGCGTGAAAATAATAAATATGAATATTTATAATCAACACTCTATATCATTAAAGGACTTTAACGACTCTAGATACAGTAACATTAACTCAATTATTACCGCTAAGTGGTACTTGATGAACCAATAATGATGACAATTGAAATATATATGGTGAAGCTCTTACATTTTTTAGGAAAGGTAGTATAAGTCCACATAATGCTGCATCACAATGGATGTAGAACTTATCTTGAGAGTAACCACACTCTTTAAGGGTCTCAATAACAACATCAAGGTTATCAATTCCTCCTTTGAACGTGGTTCCTACAAAAAAAAAAAAAAATTGATTCAAATTGTGATAGAAGTATATAAAGACGAGAGAAGATTGCTCAGATGATAAACATCCTCCACCTTCAAGTTAGTTCGTGTCATTCACTAGGAGGGGGTTAAAAGAAATAGAAGTACATATAGTTACCACACTAGGCTATTCTAGAAACTTTACTCGAAAATCTATGATATCTTTTAAAAATCAACTAAAATATTTTTCACAAATATTATTTAGGTACCAATATTGAGATGGAGAATAGCAGGTTTGTTTTTGTTGAGAAGTAACTTTGATCTTAAATCATGATAATCCATCTCCCCAGTTAACAAGGTCCCAATAACTTCACATTCCATTTTATACATTCTTGCAGCTTTCAAAACTGAATAATGTGATTCTCCTGAAGCATATAGAATTCCATCTGGAAATTGCTCTCTCCTGCACGTACCAAATTAAAAATCGATCGAGGATATATATATTTATATATAACGTAATTCCAAACATAATATAATTATATAAACTAAAGATCGATAATATGAGCAAGCTAACCCTAGTAAAATGCCATGAAGGTTTCCTTCCGTGCCACAATGTGTAACGTAACCCCAATATTGATCCTTTTCGATTTCCCAAAGTTTGGAAAACCAATCCAAAACACCAACTTCAAAGTGTCTTGAGTGCATTCCATAGTTGTTTTCAGTGAAAGGATCACCAAAATTGTTCAAGTGATATCGTAGAAGAGGAGCTAATGCAACGTATTCATCACAATAAATGTTATGAGGATAACCTGCATGCATGCAATGCCACAACAATACTTTGTCAAAAACATACACCATTCCCTCCGTACTCTACTTGGCACGGAATTTAAGAAAGTAAAGAAGACTTTTGAATAACTTGTGGACTTACAGTAAAGGCGTCATGTAGAATATATCAGAATGGTATTTAATGTTGTGGTTTTAAACATGTCGAAGAAAAGTTGAAATTAAAGAGTATTTAAAAATTAAGGAAAGAGCCAGGAGGCAATATTCTTTTTTAAACAAACTAAAAAGGAAATTAAGAAAAACAAATTGAAAAGGAGGTAGAAGTAGAGGTCTAGGGGTGTTCACGGTTTGGATAAAAACCGATCCAAACCGAAAAACCAAACCAAACCGATAAAATAAAACCGATTTTATTTGGGTTTGGTTTGGTTTGGTTTTAGATTTTTGAAAACCGATAGTATTTGGTTTGGTTATGGTTTTATTCGAAAAAAACCGAAGAAATAACCGAACCGAACCGATGAATTATATACATATATTTTATTAATATAAATACTTAATATATTATTTTTATAAACAACTTTAAAGATCTTATATATATTTTCATTAAAATTTCTTTATAATTTACTTATTGAAAGCAAAAA